TATTGGGAAAGAAATAAAGTTTTAGCCAGTTTAGATATAAAAAATACAAATTATAGGATTATCTCAGCACAAATAGATCATACGCCAGCAGATATAGAAGAATTTAGAATACAGATTAAAGAGTTACTAGATTTAGGAGTAATTAGACCTAGTAATAGCCCGCATAGGAGCGTCGCATTTATGGTTAGAAATCATGCAGAAATAAAGAGAGGAAAAGCTAGAATGGTTATAAATTATAAAAGATTAAATGACAATGCAGAAGATGATAAATATAATATACCAGATAAAGATCAACTCATAAATAGAATACAGACAACAAAAATATTTATCAAATTTGATTGCAAGTCAGGATTTTGACAGATAAAAATGGAAAAGGAAAGCATATCATGGATAACCTTTTGTTGCCCACAAGGACATTATGAGTGGCTAGTCATGCCTTTTGGACTAAAAAATGCACCTTCCATATTTCAACATAAGATGGATAACATATTTAATAAATATAGTTTTATACTGGTATATATAGATGATGTATTAGTATTTAGTCCAGATAAAAATAGTCACATAGATCATTTATATATGGCATTAGAAGAATTCATAAATAATGGAATAATAATTAGCAAGAAAAAGATGGTATTAAATAAGCTTCATATAGAATTTTTAGGAATGGAGTTAGGAAATGGAAAAATTAGGTTACAACCTCACATAGTTAAGAAAATTTTAGATTATCCAGATAAATTAAAAGATACAAAACAACTTCAATCATTTTAAAAATTTTAAATTATGCACGGATGTATATTTCTAACCTTAGTAAGATAATAGGACCCCTATATAGTAAGACCACACCCACGGGACAAAAATATTTTAATCAACAAGATATAACTCTAGTTAGAAAAATTAAAGACATTTGTAGAAATTTACCAGACTTACAACTTCCCTTAGAATCAAAATATATAGTCGTAGAAACAGACGCAAGTCAATTAGGATGAGGAACAATATTATTAGCTAAACTTAGTACGTATGATAGTAAAAATAAAGAACGCATTTGTAGATATAGTTCTGAAAAATTTAAAGAAAAAGACACGACCATGACCAGCCTAGATTTTAAAATATTGGGAGTAGTATATGCAATAAACAAATTTAGATTACTTTTGCACAAACCCTTTACAATTAGGACAGACTGTGAAGCTATAGTTAGATTTCATAATAAACTTAACGAGTGCAAATTAAGTACCAGAAGATGGGCAAAATTTTTAGACTGTATAATAGGACAAGGATATAAAGTAGAATTTGAACATATTAAGGGGAGTGATAATAAGTTAACAGATTGGCTAAGTAGGAAAATTTATTCACAAAAAGAAAATAACCAGTTTAATTTTTGTGCAAATAATGGAAAACAGCAAAACCATGAACTTTGGGGGATTCCTCTTTCCATTCATGAAGGCAGAAACAAGTTCAGACCATTAACAGGAATTGAGCTAGACCCAGTTCAACAGTGTCTTCTAGATAACCTTTGGAACAATCGTAACCACCCAGCTAAACGTCTGTCAGCCTTAAACTCTTTTAGTATATATTTTTCAAAAATCCAAAATAAA